CGCCCTTCACACTGCATGCGCCTCTGCAAGAAGAGAATGGGTAGCATGCACCCCTGCAGCCCGCTGGCCTTCGGTGCTTTGTACACACAAGTGGGGCTATAGCCCCACTTGTAGGCTGCGTCTTGGATGCGGTGCAGATCCTCAGGACCGTGGGTGACTAGGGATGTCCGTTTCAGATTGGTCGGCGCCTGTATATGGAGGTGGACCAAAACCCTGGGAACCTTTCGGGGGTCTTGGGTCCTTCATGACATCAGGGTGTTTCTGTTTGCGGGTCATGTGTCTTCATTCTGAGCAACATGCGTCCAAGTCTAAGTAAGATGTTACTGTAAAGGCCGAGCAGGGGTGATGGTTTTGGTGTGGGCCATGTAGGGAATACGATTCTACTTCCCCAGTATACAGCCCATAGCAGGCCATACAACACCACTCATGTGATGGAAGTTTGGGACACATGAGGTTACCCAAGCGAACATGTGAGCAAGATCAACACCCACTCGTATTCTTTCTTGAGTAACCCGGAAGCCCGACAAGACTGACTGTGCATCCCTTGAATATACTCGGCCCGCGTACATCCTGAAAAGCCCCGCAGTCTGCACATTGGGAGTGCTGGTCGCTGAGGATTGCACGGACTTCTTTGCTTTTGGCAGGACCTGCAAGCAAACACCACCGTATGAGGCAAGGTGTCAGCGATCGTCGGTTCAATGCAGATGTGCTCACATCAAGCTGAGATTCCGACGTCCATCACCACAGTACCAGGTGCAGTACGGTCTTCCTCGCTGCAAAGCGTTGCAAACCTCCCTATTGCATCCAATGACCCCAGACCACACATGCGCAGATTGCAATTCCAGAAGGAAAATACTTTTGAGGATCCTAGCAAGATGTGGTGCGTTGTCATTGGGTTGAATGGGGATTGTATGAGGATTGTGTCAAGACAAGCTCTTGAAAGAGCATGGTTTGCGAACATCACGAATCATGACTTCGGTGTTACTTTCTCTGGTTGTGATTCATTTAGAAACTGCAAATGGTTTCATTCAGAAAATTGGGGCCCCAGCGTCTGCGGCTGCGATGAGCTCCATGCCATCCTACACATGTCGATCACTTGCACATGACCCCTCAAGGTTACCACCGGAACCTGAAAGTATGGACAGATGATGTAGGGAATGTCGTGTCTGTTGAAAGCGTGGTCAAATGCAGAATGAAAAGGAATCTACCGATAGTCATCTTGATGAACATCGAGATTGTGATGTGCAGACCGGGATGAGACAAGGATTGTGTCGGGCAAATACCGGCAGGACCCACAGCTTCTGCAAAGAAACATGCTGTGGAGAAGGTTGGCTTCCGCGGCCCGCCTGCAAAGCAGCTTCGACGTCCTCAATGGTCACCTACAGCCAAAACAAAACAATGCCAAGCGTCACATCTCTGAAATCTCATCTAACTTTGACGGTTGCAAAGTGAAACCCACTGCATCATCAACTAGAACCATGGCAAACCATAAAAACTGCTTGGGCACAGGCCAGCTGGAACGTCAGAAACGCCGCCATGAATTCCTGGCTAGGCTGCCGGAGATCAAGTGCAAAAGAATCGCGTTCTCACCGACTCCACGCAAGCAGTTCTAGTTAGCATGGCGTAAACAACGGCAGCCGGGTCTATCCGAACATTGAACATGGCCGGGAGTTCGCTGCGCGTCATGGCGCAAAGCAGGCTTGATTATGTCCTTGTTGGCTGGAACTGGAGCAGGCTCATTGGTGAAGAACATGCTGTTTCGAGGTGTTTCGAGATGCTTTGCACTGCAGCGCATGGTAGCTCATGAGATTGGGCGGGCCCTGGCGTCATAAGCTGTGAAGATGCTTCAGTGTGTCAAAATCTCGCCCAGCAAAGTCTTCTCTCTGCACTCAGCACATTCCAACCCTTGCAAGCTATCTCTCACTCCGAAACAGCACAAAGCGGGCATGCTTGCACATTTTCTCAGCACGTGCTCAGCAATCTGCTGGTATGTGCCATTGGTTGCTGGCCGTCCACGTCACCTCAGGCGAATGGCTGGAGGCAAAGGGCTTCAACTTCAAGGAGGCAAAGCCCTCAAGGAAGCAACCTACACCGTAGAGCAAAGAAGCGAAATTACCCTGATGCCCAGGCTCATGAGCACTGCAGCGTTTTGCTGACACGAGGATGAGGACGAGAACGAGGACGAGGATGGCGGCGGCAGCGGCGGCGACGACAACGATTACGATTATGATGCTACTGATGAGGGCAGCACCATCGATGCCAATGATGACGCCTGTGATGGCAGGCGTGATAGATGGTAGGTGTGCGGAGCAAATGGGGACATGCAGCAATAGACTATTCAAGTTGCAGACAGCGGCTAACGCGGATGAACATGCTGCTGATCATATGCAATGGAGACGAGGACGAGGATGTAGTAACAACAAGTTTGGAGGCGAGCTGGGTGGGAAGTGGACGAAAATAGGTGACAGTGTGGCTGTGGCACGCTGCTCCGGCAGAGCGTCGCCGACCTGCACATGGTGCCCGGTTAATCGAGAAAGCCAGGTACAGTGTGTAGGCGACTTGGCCAGCAATTAACTTGTTGCGTAGGGCATAGCAAGCCTCCGACAGGAGTGTCCTTGCTTCGACGTGCAACTGCACCAGCAACTGGAAACCGACAAGTACGGGGCTGCATTCCTGCATGGGATTCAGAAACACTGGTTAGCCTTGCCAAGCCAACTGACTGTTTCGTTTTTGTTTTGTTCTTTGGGGGGAACTCGATACTGTACCGGTACCATAACATGTAGCAGCACGTCAACTTCATGTCAATGCTCGCCCTGGCAAGGCCTGTTGAAAGACATGCTTTCGAGTTCCGGAGTATGCTTTGCCTTCGCCCAGATTCTCCCGGCCTTCCTGATGCACAAGAACCGCTGAAAGCTAGCGAACAAGCCGCCCACCCAGCCTACTACGAGTAGTATCAGAAATGCCATTGCAGGCTCGACAACGGCTCGACCCAGACCACAGGCATGCAACGAGGAGGTAGGCACGTTCCACACAGTCCAGCCTCGCTGACATCGCACCGCCTGCGCGTGGAGGCAAATCATGTAGTGGAAAGCAAGAGACATCCAAAGCCGCATAAAAGGGAAAGAGCACCAGTAAGCCTTCCTGAATCCAGATGATTACACTGCAGCCCCGCACACTGCATCAATTCAGGTGGAGAGCTCAAGCCTACGGCTGTCGTCGAGGACGGAAAAAGGGATCACGCGGTCCCACCTACTCTAACTATGGTGTCTGCCTATACTGGAGGCATCTGGAAATTGCCGAGAGCTGCGCGCTTTCGTCAGAACGCGGGCGGTGCGTAGTGGCGTAGCTACCAAGACATCCAGTTCCAGGGGAAGTGACACCGGCTGCTTGTTGCATCTTGTTGCCACATAGATCGCTTGCACTGTTTGTTGAGGGGTTTGTCTTATTCGCCATAATTGATGCCAGCTTACGTGCACATAGACCGCACTTCGTCTCAGCCGCCCTCCCAACACGTTACACAAGGTCGCCTCCACATGCCAGCTTGGGCTTGGACCGTCAGGCTGATACACCCACGAGCCTGAAGACGCGAGCGCGCGAAGGGAATGTTCAATTCTCAGGCGCCACTTGCAACCGTCACTTCAGCCAAGTTCAAGGATGCCTCACGGTCATCCCAAGATCGCCCTGCCTCGCTACCAGCGAAGCCGGACTGTGCTGGCATGTGCACTGCCTTGGCGTTGCATTAAGCCGCTGCGCCGTCTCACGGAAGCTCTGCACGTTCGGGAGTCCTGAGCGGACACACCATGCCTTTTGAGAACACCTTCGCCATGCAGCCCTTTCCGAAACATGACAAAATTGGCCTGGACGCTGCAAGGAGAGGCATCATGGGCTCCGCCTCCGCCTCCAGCCACCAGCTGTAGCGACCTAGCGTAAGCATCAGAGACATAGGCTAGCTCGGCACTCTTAAGGCCATGCTCGGATTGTAGCGAACACTGTACCATCACCTCAGCCTCCATGGTAGGAAGTATTGCAAGCGATCTTCACTGAAACTCTACTCATCTTAAGACAAATATCTGGCAGCACGGGCAAGCTTGAGGCGGGCGTCCTGAGTGGACGTCACATGGCCGGACATGGCGAGGCCTTGCGCATTTGCTCGTGCTTGCAATGGATTCAACACGACTTCTGCCCTCTTTTCTGGCCTCCTCCTGCCCCTGATCCCCGTCGAAGCCTGCAGGTCTGATACATAAGTATGTGTCATAGGACTGTCGTGGATGATCAAGGGAGGCAGTCGACATCACCGCTATTTTGTAGGCCCCCTGAAAAGTGCCTCCCGTGAGACGCTGGTTTTGTCGCTGGCTCTCGGAGACGTCCACATCGCTCAAGGCGAACTCCTCGAGCTCCTGCCGTGGCCGTGGCGATCTCACAGACGGGTCCCCCCAAGCCCCAAGCTTTGCCAAGCTTTGCTAATCGAGAAATGTGGCCACATGTCGGAACGCCCGCGCCGCCGCCCGCGCAATGTCCTCCGCGTCGTCCTCCGAGGTGTCTAAGGCAGGCGAAGGCAGCGCCTCGTGTGAGACTCGCGCAGCAAAAAGCGCTCCAAGGTGTTTTCCCCGCTTTCGGGGCTCCTGCATGAGGTCGACCCTTTGTCCATGCATCCGCCACGCGAGTCAGAGCGATTGGCCCTCTGGGCGGCTCTGTGGAGCACTGGAGTCTGCACGGGAACGCTCCCGGAAAAGGCTGACTTCGTCAGACTCGATGACTCCCGGTCAAGCCGGCTTCTTCCTTACAACATCTTACTTGTCGTGAGATCGATTCAGTGGCACTCGAGGGCGGACCAGACTCAGACTCAGCGCAAGCCGCAAGAAGAGTCACAAGTGAGTCTGTGCTGCCCTGGATGGCCACCACCTGCCATCTACATCTTGCTGCCTCATAAAAAATACGGAGCCAATGCCAAACTACAAGCAACAGCTACGAAACTCATGTCGGAGGCGAAGCCGCTGAACTCAGCCATGGATGGCGATTCCTCAGCCATGAGCCACAACCGTCGAAAGCATGGAACTTCTTGAAACACGCCCGAACACCGAGGTCGGAAGTCGGATCTTCAACGCTGGCTGAGGGATCCACTTGTGCGAGTGGGCTGGACATGCGAGGTGTCCCCGACTTGGCCCATGCCCTCGCAAGCATTTCAGGCCACCGAGCTAAGGAGGCCTCTGAGCCCCAACGCGCCCCGCCTTGCTGGGCATGTTGAGCACGTAGCGCCGGTGCTCCCTAAGCTCATCTGTCGGGGCCACTGACAGGATGTGGTCCTCATCGATAAACTTCTGACAGCCTGTGGAAGATTGCAAAGCTGAAGGGGTCTCCTCGTCGTCCTCCTCCTCCTCGTCCTCGGGCATGAGGTTCTGGGCAGCGCGCCTCCCGGCCAACAGAAGCATCCGGGTATCCTTCTGTCTCGTCGTTTCAAGGACGCACACGCACACACGCACACACTCATTCGGTTTCGGGCCCTAGGAGCTCGAGGATGGATCTGAAGTCGTGGCCTCAGTGAAACCATGCGCTTCCCCGGCGCGCTGCAACTGCATCGCATGGCTCTCATCTCATCGCTTTCTCTGAGTTTCGGTACCACAGGGCCCGAAGCACATCAACACGGCCGGTAAGGGCACGAGGGCGAAGACCACGGCGTAGGCAGTCACGCCACAAACCTCTCAATTCAAGCGGACTTGCTGCTCCCACTCCATGGACATTTCATCTGAAGGGGGTCCAGTCCATGTCTTAGGTTCAGACCCTTAAGCAAGTCGCATGGGCACGAAATCAGGCTCCGAGATGGAGAAAGGATCTCTCGGTAAAGGTGCTACCACCCGAGAATGAACTCTGAGCTTGAAGTCCATCACGGCACCGAACTTAAGCTCTTGTAACAGGCCACGATGTTGCCCGAAGAAACCCAAAACTATGGACTTTGGCCCGCCCGTATCACCGAGGTGACACGTGGGTCACGTCAGGAAAGAACAACAAGGAAACAAGCCGCTGATCAGCTGCGGCTGCAGTCTTGAAGAGATCCTCCTTACCATGCTGAGCTTCGGGCGACGGCACCCAGCTTAAAGAAGACGTGCATGGTGCAAGGCAGCAAGCAGCAGGCCGAGCCGATGGTGGTCAGAGCTGAGCCGACCTCTGCCACACAGGGGCGAGAGCCTTCGTTGAGGCTATACGATTTTAAAGCATTTATGTCGGCTAGATTATAGGACAGCTTCAACAGTCCTCTCCACCCTTCGCTCGTTTTGAGGCTCCAGCAATGGAGCCGCCGATCCTCTCAAGGGCATACTTCGAGCGCTCGAAGCGCTCCGCGCCTGAGAGGAGTCTCTTTTTTGGGGGCAGACTCTATAATTACACCGACACCCACCCCTTTAAAAGGAGTTGTTCCCGTACACCGAGCCAGGAGCTGCGATTCTTGGAGAGGACGCGCTTGTTTTGCTCCCGCTTCTCCGTCGTCGCCTGCAAAAGACACACGCACGTCGCTCTCCGACTCCGACTTACCTGCGCTCAGACACATGGGGGAACCCCCTTAAGCCGTGCCCTGTCCTTGGTCACCGCGATGTCGGAGATCTTCATGGACACGCGGTGGTTGCCGGACTTCCCAGGCTTTGACACCCCGGCGGCCCTGAGGACTATCGCTTGCTACCAGATAGCTGGACGGGTGCCTAGCTAGACAGACAGGTGGATATATAGATAGCTTAGATAGAGCGATAGGTAGATAAGCTACGAGTATGATATAAGCTTATGTTGACCGGCTACAAACAATCAGCTGTTTCTTGCAAATAACCACAAAAAGACACACAACGTAGAACTCGGATCACACCACGAAGGTGGGGGCTGCGCAAACGAGGCCTGCAAGTAAGACAGCAAGTAAGACAGCCCGCAGGAGAGCTGTAAAGCAGCCTTTCGTTGTATCCTCTCCGGCTTCGCTAGAGCTTTGCCACTAAGGCCCGGGCATGGAGATGCTCTTCCTTGCGGCTTTGAGTGATGGCTACTACTAGAACCTTGACTCTGATCAGCGGATTACCGTTCGCCGTGGGCTCCGTCTTCGGTGTCCTGCCGATGTTCTGCAGTCGCGTGGCAACCGACTGTTGCTCTTGCTCCTCGAAAAGTTGCAGACTTACTGCAGAAGCCGTCACAAGCCATGCGCTTCTCGTCTCCTCCTCCTCTTCGTCCTCGTCGTCCTGCTCCTCTACGTCCGTGATGTGACAGGAGTGGTACTTGTGAGACCTCCGGGCCCCCCCAGGCTCCCCGAAGCGGCGGCTAGGCCTAAGGCAAGAAAGGCCGCGACAAGTGGAGGCAGTAGTCCACTGCAAAGCCCACGAAGACGATGAGGGACAACACTTCGATGGCTCCGATCTTCCAGGACATGATCTCAGCACAGGAGGGCCATTCGGAGGCCACATGGTGTCCCCCAAATAAAATGATCACGCACTGCAAAGCCCGCACAACGCAGCACAATAAGGGGCCGGCGATGACCATGAAGAACAGCAGGCCAAGCACAATCATCATGACCACCAGCATGACGATCAGCGAGAGATGTGTGCTCCGAGTGAAGACCAAGACTCCCAAGAAGACGCAGCCCAGGGAGATGCAAAGCGTGACCAGCGTGCTGTCCAGGATCACCTAACAGAGCTAGGATTCCAAGGGCTCCCGATTCTCACAGAGGCTGCCGCCCTGCCCGCCTTCTCTGCTTCGGCGATGGTCCAAACGCGGGAGGCCTTAGAGCAAGGGCGGAGTCTGAGGCCTTGAAAAAGGCTCTGAGAGTCTCTCTGACTCTCAGGTTCTCGGCGTGCCAGGCCCCTTTGATGGGCGCTTCCGCTTGGCTGTTGAATGCCTGCAGAGTGTCCGCGAAAAGACACGTCGTGTTTAGGGCGGACCTCCTCTCAGTTTGCAGCTGCAGTCGGGCGACGGCGAGGTGGCGATCCCACTTCAGCATTGCATCCATTCCGCTGGAAGAACCCCCCAAGCGGTTCACGTTGATGAAGAACCTCAGGGGCGCGCAAGGCAGGACGAGGAGGCTCCAGGCAGAGAAAGACTAAGCGAGGAGCTGGAAGTACATGGCGATGAGACGCTGGTCCTCCGAGAACCAAACGTAGCCTGAAGCAGAGCTCTTCTTCTCACAGGGCTGAGGGCTAAGAGGGGACAAAACGTGCAGCCTCAAGCGACTTTACACTGTTATATTGCAGTACTGTCGTACCGTTATAATACACTCTTCATATTATATATTTTGCTGGGGTTTCAAGGGGCGCAAGGGGCGGCCAGGAGGCGGATGGTTTCGAAGGGCCCGGTCTTCCTGTTGTTGGCGTACCACCAGGCTTCCGCGTGGAAGTTCTTGACGTTGGGTCTCACGGGCCACTCCTCGCCCTTGCCCGTCCACCACTCCTTGAAGCCCTGACGGGATCTCTCCAGCTTATTCCATGAAGATCTGAGAAATTTTAGGGCTTTGCAAAGAGTAGCTGAGGGCCTTCAGCCAGCACTGCACCGAGACCACCTTCAGCTCCTGCACGCGAGTGCTCTCACTGCTTTACACTTTGCACTGCTCTTTCGATCTTATGGCCACCTGATGAACACCTACATCCCAGACTCTTGATAAGCAGGCGTCTCAGTGAACCAACCCTGTCTTCAATCATCGCAGCACATGCCAGAAGAGATGGGCCGCGTCGCCCCCTTCCAAGTATGAACTCTCTAACCTTCCCCAAACCCGAAAGACCCACCCTGACCTGAGGACCCATTTCTCGAAGCCCCATAAACCCCCAAACCCCCCCCCCAAAAAAAA